TTTTTTTAGCAAAGCTTTGTTTAATGAAAAGGTTCCAGTGATGTTATACAGTAGGTCTAGATCGCCCCAAAATGAAAATTCAGTAAAGTTTTTTTTTTCATTCCAAACCCATAAAACATTTTAGGTGGATTATTTTGAGCTTAAAAAATGAAATCTAAGAAATGTACATCCAGAAAAGGGCTCATGTTTATATTCTTCATAAAAAGATCAGAAAAGAAATCCAACCAAACTTTCTGACGAAATATGATGGTACAGATAACTAATTTTACTTGATTTAAATTTTTTATAGAAGCTCTACAATGCTTGCTTGGCACAAAAGAACTAATGAGGTTCATTCTTGAGCTTCCACATGGACCAATCAGGTGTGTTCTGGTGCATCAAACAAGTATGCTTCAGCTCATGTTCGCCGATGAATTTGTTGTGACTTAAAAACCTTAAATGTAATTGTTTCACCATATTTAATATAAGTGATATAAGTGATCTTGTCTCCTCAAAAGTTTTGGGTTGAACTTGTTACTAGGTATACGGTACTTACGAATAGACACAAATATTTATTTATAGGCAGGGAAAATGCCGACATTATTTGATATTTCTTCGCAAAATCTTGGGGGGAAAAATGCAGAAAGATTTTGGCAGTGCAATAACTAAAACTACAAACAAGAAATAAAAAAGCAATCATGTTTTAACTCTTATTAAGGTTTACAAAACCCTAACAATAAATCTAATTAGATGCACTTGTTTGATTAACAAAGAAAATCTCTCATATAATATATCTACTAGGACTACATGATATTGGAAAAATCTAACATTGCAGTATTTTTTATCCTGCGATATACATTGTGATGTTAATTCAATTTCACAAGATGGACAACTTAACTGTTTTATGTTCAACCCTCTTAAATTTGTAAAAAAAAAAATTAATTTCATTTAATTTAATTTCTTCATGTTGTCCCAACTCAAATCGATTATGTGAAACCCAGCATTTTTTACAAAATCATTTTAGATTGATTGGGATGATTCATTGAACTAACATTCAAATACATTTATTATTTCCACTCCCTCTCTTTAATAATCTTATAAAGTGTCATCATTTTATTTGAATAGTCACTTTTAACGTAAATACATTGAAAGCTTGAAGTCAGAATTGTTAACCTCCCTGAATTATTATCCCTCCCCCCTGTTTATTTTTTTTCCAATTTCTGTTTAACAGAGAGAAGATTTTTTCAACACATTTCTAAACATACTAGTTTTAATAACTCATTTATAATAACTGGTTTATTTTATCTTTGTCATGTGGACACTGGACAGTAAATATTATTTTACTAGATATTTTTCAAGACACTTCTACAAAGCCTAAAGTGACATTTAAAGGCTTAACTAGGTTAAAAAATATATAGCTTAAAGGGGCCTTTAATGACCTAAAAATTGATTTAAAAAAATTAAAAACTGATTTTATTCTAGCCGAAATAAAACAAATAAGACTTTCTCTAGAAGAAAAAATATTATCGAAAATACTGTGAAAATTTTCTTGCTCCGTTAAACATAATTTGGGAAACATTAAAAAGAAGATTAAATAATTCAAACGGGGTTTAATAACTCTGATTTCATGTGTTTATATGAACAAGTTTGAAATGACATGAGGTTGAGGAAATTATTTTAAATGTATTTGTTTTGGAGAAGTAGATACCGATTAAGAACCTTTGTCATTTAATTTTGTCAATTAATATTCATGAGACAAATGTTACACTGCGTCCCACTTTTTCAAATCACTCCTGCATATAATTTCTAAAGCAATATTTGGAGATTGATAATAGTCTTTGTCAAAGTGACAGTCAATTAATCCAAAATGTTCTTTTGCGCATACATAACAAACAATAAACTAACTCTATATGCCAAGATCATGACAGTTAATTAAATTGCTTTGTTTGTTTCTGATATTGACTCACGATCATTTTATAGCCACAAACTCAATTAAGATCACATAAAAAGTGCAGTTATTTTAAAGACAAATAAAGGCAAAAATAAGTGTGCCACTGTTACAGATAACAGTTGTGTGGAAATTAGTGTTGACAAGATCTGAACACTGCAGCCAAACTGGGTTCCACCTCATTGCTCTCAAATGCCTAGCATGACAGGTCAGTGGTGACGGAGGCACTTCTGTGTATGTGTGCATGTGATTGATGTAAGGGATGCTGAGTCATGAATGCTGACACAGGAAGAGCAGAGTAGGACAACTTCAGGAACCTCATTCTATCTAGACAGTCACACATTCATTGGCTGATGTTTCAGCACCTATAGTAGGTTTATATGCACCCCATTCTTCTTTTCCTATATCTACTGTAGTATTTACTAGTATTGTTAAGGCACTGAAACCTTTGAAATTCACTCTGCTGAAGGCAAGAGGATCAATAGAGGAAAAAAAAGACAGACACAAAGCACAAGGACTGAAAAAAAAAGACTGAGAGAGCGTTCCACTACTTGCTTGTTTGCCTGTTCCCTCAGTGGTGCAAAAAATAGAGTGCAGTTGATAATGGCAGTTGACCATAAGAAATCTAGGGAGCAGCTAATGAAGAGAGACCAAGTGACCTCTGTGTAATTGCTCTGTATTTTCACTCGCTCAAGGCTAACATGCCCAATGTAGTGTACAACACGCTATTGTGCATTCAAATGCCATGTGTCGGGTTGTTAGGTAAGTTTGAGACTTGGTGTCAGATGGGCAATCCTGCCTTGCAGATTTCTAGAGTAAAAAAGTGTGATTACTGTATGTCATGATCTTCAAGTGCATGTTCAACAAAACACTCCAGGTCTCTTGTGGATCATGCATGCGGGTTCATTTGCTGGTAGCTCTCCAGTCTTTTTTTTTTTTTTGCCTTTGCCATGAGACACAACCCGGCCACTGCACTCATTCGCTTGCCATCTGTCTGCAGCTGAAAACACTTGCTCTCCATACGGTAGCGTGCTGGTGGCAGCCCCATCCCCAGCTGACAAGCAAAATGCTTTGAAAGAGTGAATAAAGCAAGCTCAATTGGCTGATGTGACATTGTTTTATCAGAGTGAGCTGGTGCCGAGAGCCGTGTGTCCTGAACTAAGAGGAAAAATAGTAGAGGGATTAGTTTAGAGAGTGGGACATGTGGGCAAAGCTTGTCCATCCGCTCATCAGCTGAGAATGCAATTTAGCAGCTTGCTGCAAGAATGCAAACCATTTCTAAATCACAGAACAGCAAGGCATTTGCCAAGTAGGCATGACATACAGAAAAACAGCCCAATGGCTATGTTCTTAAGTCTCAAATTTTTTTCCATAAAGGGATCATTATAAGATGCAGCAGTCATGCCCTTGCAGCATCAGCTGACTGAAGCACAAGGCTCAAAGTGGAACAGCTCCTTCATGATCTTTCATTCTCTGTTGGTAAACATCTCCTCATCTGACAGATTTCCACAGCATGAAATCAGTAATAATGATCTCACTGATATGATTCGATAAGAGCAGAACGAATGCAACCAAGCGTATCTGACTGACATTAAACTGGACACACCGGTAAACAGAATATGCTCTTCTAAGTTGTATCATGAGACATTTAGTTTGCATAAATGGCATAGGCGACACGGTGGTGCAGTGGGTTGCGTGGTCAACTAAGAGCAAGAAGGTCGCTGATTCAAGCCTCAGCTGGGTCAGATGACATTTCTGTGTGGAGTTTGCATGTTCTCCACGTTCACGTGGGTTTCCCCCACAGTTCAAAAACATGTGGGATAGGTAAATTGAGTAAGCTATGAGTGTGTGAATGAGTGTGTATGGGTGTTTCCCAGTGCTGGGTTGCGGCTGAAAGGGCATCTGCTGATAAAGCCAAGTTGTCAAGCAGTTTTTTGACATACAGCTTCTGTCAGATTCAACACAAGTCAAAAACTTATAAAAAACACTTAAATTCAGGGCAAATGAGAATCGTTTAACTTTGTGATGATAATAATGGCATGAATCAAAAATAAAATCATATTTATATCTATCATTTATTTATTCATTGATTTTCTTTTCGGCTTACTCCCTTTAATAATCAGGGGTTGCCACAGCGTAATGAACCGCTAACTTGCAACCCAACACTGGGAAACACTCTTGCATTCACACATATTCATTACGGCCAATTTAGCTTAACCAATTCACCTATACACCACATGTCTTTACACTTGTGGTGAACCGGAGCACACAGAGAAAACCCACACGAACACGGGAAAAACATGCAAACTCCACACAGAAATGCCAACTGGCCCAGCCAAGGCTCGAACCAGCAATCTTCTTTCCGTCATCGTGCTACCCACTGCGCCACCGTGACGCTCCATCTATTATTTTATTATAATACAATATTTATACACATTATTTTATTATATTATAAATTACCTAATTATTTTTATTATACAACAATTGTTATAGCTTTTTTATTCTGTGTTCTTTGTGTTCAGTTTCTTTGGCATAATCTACTTGGTAAAAAGCTCTATAGAAATAAAGCTGAATTCAAATCATTAAAATGCCCTATTGAGTGACTGAGGTAAAGTTGGTTTTATGTTCACACGTTTGTTCAGGAACAACTTGAGAAAACCCACTCTACTGTATATTGTTTACCAAGGTGCTTTAAACATTCAGTCTGAAATCACAACATTAGCACTATTTACTTGACTATGAACAATCCTGTGCTTTAGTGATTGGAAATGTCACTATTTACAATTTACAAAGAATCTGTGAAATAATATTATTAGGGATAAAGTGCGAATGTGTGAATATGAAACCAACTTTACCTCAATTATTCAGCAGAAACAACGTTTTTTGGATAGGTCAGGAGCAAGAGGTCAAACGCTTCAATATATGACAGCAGAATGAGACAAATTGCTCTTATTTCACAAGGTCATTATAAAGTTTATTTTATCATACGAATTCTATTGCTTCAAACATTTGCATTAGCATTTCATTCATCTTTGTGATTACCGAAAAGAAACAATGGCAAGAATTTACTCACCACTCGTGCTCATGATGCTGAGACAATAATCCAAGAGTAGCTACAATTTAATATCCAGACAGCAGCGGTCGACTATTGTTCCACCGAATAAATCCAGTTACTGAGCCTCAGCTTGAAGTCAGAGTCGAGCCGTCAGAGTGGGATACAAACTCGCGGAATAATTAAGACAAATGTTAACGCTCCCAATGTGATTCCCGGATCACAGGAGGGCAGCGATCACTTGGCTGATAATGGGAACGGTGGGCTTAAAGTAAAGCAGCCTGTGAATGCATGGCGGACGACCGGCCTCAAATAAAGCGGAATGTTGCCAAGTCACATTCCGCGATCTTCTGCCGTTTTCTCGGGTAAAGCAAGCCTGAGACAGTGTTTCGTACAGTGGACGAGGCGCTGTCACTGTACTCGCGCGCTCGCATCTATGGAAGCGCGCCGGGGTGACGTCACGCAGCGGACTGGAGCAGCAGCGTGTTTTCTCGCAGCTCCGCCACACTGCGAGATTCGCTGATTATAACGGCAGTGCGCTCCGGTTTCGTCTTGTCTCTTGCAGCGGGTTTGAGGTGTGAGGTCACGCTGGGGGAAAGTTGAAGGGTAGGGTGGGTTTTAGCAGATTACGGCATTTACCGTGGGCTGTGTGGATGTATAGCGCCCTCTTATGTAGACACGGTGCAAATAGACACAGAGGACAAATTGGCTTAATTTAGAAACCTGCCCGCCAACAAAAGCTCCTTATTATGACGATAATTAGCCGTTTAGAGGTGAATTGCGCGCCAGGAAAAGAAAATTACCACGCTTTATGTGTAATGTATATTATAGAAAAAGATAATTAAGTTGGCTAATTATTAGTCATTAAATGTTATTGATTATATTATACAGGGTTAAATAGAATATACGCTATAGATGTAAGAATATATGATACTCATTTATTATTACAATAAAATCTATTTAATATTTAAACAAAATAAAAATACACGTAAAAGGCCATAATATAATAATAATAATAATAATAATACAGATGATGATGATGATGATGATGATGATGATAATGCCTTACATTTACACACTCAAAGTGCTTTAAGTATTTTTGGGTGGAATCTCCTCATCCACCACCAGTGTGGGCCCTAAGCAATTCCAACCAAAAGTTCTAAACTGCACCTTTTGTTAGCAAAAAATATTCATTAGATCTCCTTATCTACATTTTATCCTAATGCAAAATAATAATAACATGTAAAGCACATTTGCCAAACTTTTTAAATTATTTGTTTTCTTAACATGAATTTACAACTAAAATAATAAATAGACTATTTAATTTTAAAAACTAATTATTCACTTGGTTTGATTGAAGGTGGGGGACATATTCGCACAGATATTATAATTACGTTCAAATAAAAAATGTTAGGACCTCATTGTACAAAATATGATAGAAAACAATGTTACAATGTATAGGTATCATCTAGGTATTTATTTGGGGTCCCACAGATTTCCAGGGGCCCTAAGCGGCTGCTTACCTTGCTTATTGGTTAAATCCGCCCCTGGCAGCATCCACCTGGATGTTGTGACGGCAGCCATATTGCGCCAGACCACACACCAGACCAGATGATTGGAGGAGATGAGACAGAGTGAAGCCAATTATGATTAGGAGGCCATGATGGCCAGTGGACAGATTTGGCCAGGATGCCAGGGTTAAACTCCTACTCTTTTTCGAAGGACATCTTGGGATTTTTAATGACCTCGGTTTAATGTGTCATCCGAAAGACGGCGCTCATTGAGCAGTATAGAGTCCCCTTCACTATGCTGGGGCATTAGGACCCACACAGACCACAGGATGAGCACCCTAATGGGGAGGAAATACGTACAGGCTGAAAAATGAAATTGTTACTATTTATTTAATTTATAACACTATTACTGCCACAAACACTATTACTACTACATAATAATACTACAAAAATAAATATAATGCAAATGATACATGTTCAGCCATGCTCAAACTGGCTGTAGCCCTATAAAATAAAAATGGTAAAGATTCTACAAAAATATAAATCTATAATGTACACAATTCTAAAAAACTAAAAAAAATATAAAATAATAAATATTATTAATTTAGCCAGTACAAAATTGTGAGGGCCACTGAAACCTTGTTAACTGAACTGGGCCACTGTGAGGGCCACTGAAACCTTGTTATTAGCAAACAACCAAGTTTGTTGAATAAGACTATATAAAAACTCACTCATTCATTTTCTTTTTCCTTTATTATTCCCTTAGTCCCTTTGTTAATCAGGGGTTGCCACATCGGAATGAACCACCAACTTATTCTGCATATTTTAACGCGGCGGATGCCCCTCCAGCTGCAACCCAGTACTGGGAAGCACCTATATACTATTGCATTTACACTCATACACTACGACCAATTTGGTTTATTCAATTCACCTAGAGTGTATGTCTTTGGACTGTGGGTGAAATCGGAGCACCGAGAGGAAACCCACGCACACACAGGGAGAACATGCAAACTCCTCACAGAGATCCTGCCAAGGCTCGAACCAGCGACTTTCTTGCTGTGAGGCAACCGTACTACCTAATGAGCAGGGCCAGACGGAATCTGCGGAAGTTTTTTGCTTTTTAGTCAATTTTAGTAAAAATCTTCGGATTTCTGCGGAATTAGTTTGGGAGTATCCAGCGGAGTATCATAACTTAGACCTTAATATATTAAATAAAAAGCAATACATTACTGAATAAACACTGAATGAATTCAGAATTATATTTGCTTAAGTAAATAAACTGAATTAATGATGGGCTGAAAATCTGCAGAAATCTGTGGAATTCTGCGGAAAATCTGTAAAAAATCTGTGGAATTCTGCTCGCGCAGATTCCGTGTGGGCCACCCTATAAAAAAAAAAGAAAGAAAGAAAGAAAGAAAGAAGTTTTTGCTCACACTGATTTATTGTTTGTTTGTTTGTAAGTAATTTTAAATCAAAGTCAATTAAGAAAAACCTCTTACCAGGCAAGTTCCCATCTGTTTTACTCATGACATACACTAGAAGTCGCTCTTTCCCCACTTTACCGAGGTCTGTGTCCATTGCATTACCTCTCAGCCAGCCCGGCATATATTCCTTCCTTCATCTATTCATTTTTCTTCAGCTTAGTCTCTTATTTATCAGGGGTCGCCACAGCGGAATGAACCTCCAACTTATCCAACATTTGTTTTAAGCAGGGGATGCCCTTCCAGCCGCAACCCAGCATTGGCAAAAACCATATACACTCATCACACACTCATCCACTACCGCCAATTTCAGTTTATCCAATTCACCTACATGTGTTCTTGATGTGAGGTGACAGTGTTAACCACTGAGCCACCGTGTCACCCACATGTGTTTCTTTAATAAAAGAAAAAACGTCACTCAGAACACTGTTGCCTACAGAGAAAAATACAGTATGAATGACTTTACGCCAGTGCTATTTAGAAAAGTAATAAATCACATTCATAAGTTCTTTGTTCATACATACATTCATCATACACCCACAGACCTGCTCCTCAGTAAATCCTCTTTTATTGCTATTTTTATTCAGAATTAATAAAAGCCTCAGTCTGTGTGGAGACAGACAGGCAGTTAGATTTAACAGGAAGTCTCTTATTTGCAGGTTGTTCTCTTTGTGTGTGTGAACCCAAAGGCTGTGTGAGTTAGGAGTATTTTACTGTCATGTGTATACAGAAACAAAGGCCAAGAGGAAACGGTACAATGGAGGGATGTGACAGGCGCCTCGCACACTCTACATTTCTTCCTCTCCCAGTCAGTCTATCTCACTCGGTTGCTCTCTTTGCCTGACCATAGTGCTCTCAGCCTGACAATCAGATATTTTGACAGGGCCATAAGGTTCGTGTCTGAGACAGACAGTGTAAGCAGTCAGCATTGTTCTGCCTGCCAGCATCAGCACTTTCCATCTGTATGAGAAAAAAAAATTTTGATATGTTGTTACGTTTTAGTTTGCCGTTTTTCCATTTTGATTATCAAATTAAATTTTAAATCTACAGTCTTTTGCAAAAATTTGGGCACAATAATGTGCTCTTTCTTTATAAGCGAAGATTGCAGTGGAATGCAACTCGGTTATTGAGGAAGCTAGATAATGTCATGTTTTTCAGACAGAAATAGTGTAGCAGTAATGAGATGTGTGAATTTAAATTGAAACTGAAAATTAGGCTATGCAAAAGTTTGAGCACCCTCTCTTTTGTGTGGATTTCAAAACCTGTAGTCACTTAATGCTGATTGATTACAACACAATTTGTTTTGAGTGACTCAGTGAACCTTAACAATCCTAACACAGGTAAAACCAATTATGAAAAAAGATATTTAAGATAGCTTATGGATAGTTGTGCTTCTTCTTAATGTGAACTTGAAAGTACGAACATGTGAACCTCAAAAGAACTTCCTAATGACCTAAAAACTAGGATAATTCACCAGCATTAATTAGGGGAAGGATGCAAAAAGCTATCACAAAGGTTTAAAGACTCTATTTCCACAGTCAGAAATATAGTAAGAAAATGGAAGGCCACAGGAACAGATCTTGTGAAGGAAAGATGTGCTGGACCAAGCAAAATCTCTGAAACGCAAAGGCGAAGAATGGTTAGAATGGTCACAGACAAAGAACAGACCACCTCCAAAGAGCTCCAGGAACATCTTGCTGCTATGTCATTGTACATCGTTCCACAGTTCAGCATACTCTTCTCAAAGAGCAGCTCAATGGAGGTTGATGCAGAAGAAGCCTTTTCTACATTCTGCCAATAAGAAGAGTTGTTCAAGGTATGACAAGGCTCATGGACAAGCTAAGAGCTTGAAGTTACTCCAGGGTTGGATGTTTCAGTAGGACAATGACCCAAAGTACAGTTCCAGATCTACCAAAGAATTCACATGATACAATGTACTAGAATTGTCAAACCAGTCCCCAGAACATCATCAAAAATTGGATCATCAATAAAAAATAAATAAATAAATAAATAAATAAAATGCAAAGGAAGAAAGTGCAAGGAAGAATGGTCCAAAATGTCTTCAGCAAGAATTCAGGGACTTATCCTTGACTTTAAGAAGCATCTATTGGCTGTTATTTCAGCAAAATGTGGCTATATGAAAGATTGATGTCATTTTTCTGTTGGGGTGTCCAAATTTTTGTATAACCCTCTGATCTTTTGTTTTACAGCCTATTTAGGTCAAATCACTGGTTAGTTATTTGTTAGGCATGTACTGTTTATCATAATACAGTCATTAAGACATAATTAAACTTAGTGACTCACTCCACACAATTGTGGTTTATTTCATTTACAGATGTTTGTCACATAATTTTATAACCTGCATAGCTTGGATTTTCATTTTATAGCATATCTTTGTGCATATAATGTTTATTAATTTCTTAAAGCCATTCCATATGGTTGTATTCATGGTGAGAAACAATTAATTCATAGGTCAGTATTTCTTATACAAAATTTTTCCTTACACACAAGTTGAATGAAAGCCAATTTGGAATG